CAATGAATTATGGGATCACAGGAAGACGCAAGGGATTATGGGTACATGAATAACTATAAAAACAACTACTTTTTTCCAAGTCGGCGAGTTCTTCGAGGGACGTTCACGGTTGACGGCTAGAACGGGCAGTTAGTGTGATTTGGAGACAGAACTCAGGAAGGAACGACTCAAGTTTGAAATACCAGCTGGGAGAGCTTGAATTTACTCGCTGGTTACTGTTTTCTTCATTCGCCTCAAGCTATTTCGGCATATTGATTCTTCAAAATGGAAGGCAAGGTCTTTGACGTCCGTTTGATTCCAGAATTCAGCGGCGCCCCAACGGATATGCCCATTGTTGAATGGATAGAAAATGTGGAATTGGTCTGCGAACTTTGTGCCATGGACAAGATCGAAAGCATCTTGCCTTTACGACTTCGAGGCGGGGTGCCCTCGCTGTATATAGACAACTCAGTGGAGAGCAGAGGGCAGACGCGGAACAAATTAAACGGGCCCTTATGACTGCATCTGCGACTGACAAATTTAATGCGTTCGACCAATTTATGGGACGGCGTCTTAAGCCAGGGGAAACTGTGGATGAATTCCTGGCTGAAATGCATCGTTTGGCGCGGCTAGTAGGAGAACCGCTACCTGATCGGTGGATGGCATGTGCATTTGTGTCAGGACTGCCACATCATGTTAGGGCAGCTTCTCAAAGCTTCTTCCAGGATGGACGACATGAATCTAGAACAGATTCTGACCCGAGCAAGGGCTATTATGACGGATGACGAAGGGTGCCAGGTATTGGCCGCCGCATCCGTGAGAGCCAACGCTCTCAGAAGCTGAGGTTCCCCTGCCAAACCTGTTAGCAGAACGATTACCTGCTACAAGTGCTCTGGACCCAACCATATGGCGAAGAATTGTACACAAGGACGTCAGGAGAGGTCAAACAGAACGCAGAGGTCTGGTCGCGACAAGCGGTGTTTTCGATGCAACGGCATTGGACACATTTCCTCAGAATGCCAGGGAAACGCCCAAGGGGAGAAGGCGTCAGCGCCAGCCTTCGCCCCGAGCAAGTAAAACCCGGAAGTTACCCACCGTACAAGTATTTGTAGATGGAGTAGAGTGCACAGCTCTAGTGGATTCGGGATGCTCACAGACGTTGGTGAGCAAGACTGTGTGTCGCTGCTGGAAGCAGGAAGAGGTGGGAGTGTTGACTGCCGACGGGAAGACCCTGAAGTGCCGTGGATACGGTAAAATTAAGTTGGGCGTCGAGCATATTCAGCCCGTGACTGTTGAGGTTCTGGTCGAAGGGCAGTTGCTAGGATTCGATCTTCTTCTCGGGATTGATGCAATCAAAGTGCTCGGAGGTGTTTACTTAACCGAATCAGGCGAAGCTCGTTTCGAAACCTGAACACATGTGCCGCCATTGTTATCAACAAGCCTGACTTTAGAGTGACGTTTAACCCGAGCACAAAAAACGTGGACTGCATTGTGGAAGTGGGCGAGTGGTTATTCACCTAGCAAGTTGGTCAATAAAGTACAGGAGTACACAGTACCTGGCCACGTCCGGGATGCATACGATGAAGAACTAGCACGGTGGCAGCAGAGACGGATGGCTACTGCCATATCCTGAGAAAGAGCTTGGCCCACCCAAGGATTAATTCCCTTAATGGCGGTCGTACAAGAACATAAACAGAAGGTCCGACCGGTACTTGACTATCGGGGAGTTGAACGGCTTTGTAGACGCATTCACGGCTGACGCAGAGGTGTGTGCGCAGAAATTACGAGAATGGCGACGACAAGGAGCTGACGTATCGCTGTTGGATTTGAGAAATGCGTACCTACAGATTCACATTGACAAATTGCTATGGCCGTTTCAAACAGTGGTCATTAAGGGCAAGCGGTTTTGCCTTACGCGTTTGGGTTTTGGCCTGAATGTGGCACCACTTGTCATGAAGTCAGTGATCGACATGATAACGTCCCCAGGATCAGGACATTAAGAGTGCCACGTCGGCATACGTCGACGATATCTTCATAAATGAAGGCCTAGTTTCTGCAGCGCGCGTAAGACAGCACTTTGCAGATTACGGGCTGTCTGTAAAGATCCGGAGCGATTGAGAGACGGAACTAAGGTCCTGGGTCTGCAAGTCTGGGAAGAAAGCAACTCCCTTCGATGGAAGCGGGAGGTCAAGTTCCAGAAATTGCTCAAAAAGACCCGCCGCCGAAGCGTATTTTTCCTTATCGCGGAAACTTGTGGGTCATTTCCCTGTGTGCGGTTGGCTTAGGGTGGCAACTGCATTTATTAAGCGTTATGCAAGTACACTAACCAAAGGATGGGACGACGAGATAAAGGATGCCCCTCTTGGACGTATGCTGGAGGAAACAGTGGCCAGAGTGCGGGAATCAGATCCTGTCGGCGGAGACTGGTGTGTGAACGGCAATGAAATGACAGTTTGGGTGGATGCAAGCTCCGTGGCCACGGGAGTAGCACTAGAGGTGAATGGGAGCGTCGTGGAAGATGCTTGCTGGTTGCGTCCAACCAATGATGCCAAACACATTAATCTTGCTGAGCTTGATGCGGTGATCAAGGGCGTGAATCTTGCCCTGCAGTGGCAGGCGCCAGTTATGCATGTGGTCACCGATTCAGCATGTGCATCGGTGGGTGTCTGACACTCTGACAGGAAGGACGCGGCGTGAACACGAAGGCAGCGGGTGAAATGCTGATTAGGCGGCGCTTAGAGACACTGCGCGAGCTTTGGTGGAGGAGTACGCACTGACTATGACTGTGACGTTGGTGAAATCTTGTCAGAACCGCGCTGACAGCCTCACCAGAGTGCCGCAACGCTGGTTGGAGATGCACAAGAAAGGAGGAGAGCGGTGCAAGTGAGTTGTGTCACTGCAACGAGCCAGTTGAGCAAACGTCAGGTGACTCACATCCACCAGCAGAGTGGGCACCCAGGTGTTAAAAGAACAATGTACTTTGCTAGGACTGTAGATCCAACGGTGTCTAAGGAACTGGTAAAATCTGTCGTTAGAACCTGTGAAGCCTGCCAATCGATCGATCCAGCACCAGTGCATTGGAAGAAAGGAAATTTGAGTGTGAGAAAAAACTGGAGCAGGTTAGCAATGGACGTAACCCATTGCAATGGTTGCCATTTTCTTACGCTCATTGACTGTGGTCCCTCCCGTTTTGCAGTATGGCGGCCACTGAGACGGCAAGACTGCTGGTGTCATTCGTCAGCTAGAGACAGTCTTCTACGAACGAGGCCCGCCGACCGAAATACTGACTGACAATGACACCACGTTCACTTGCAGACAATTTAGGGAATTTGTAAACAGCTGGGGCGTGCATTTGAGGTTCCGGTGCGCTTATGTGCCATCTGGAAATGGCATTGTGGAACGCAACCACAGAAGCGTCAAAACCATAGCGGCCAGGAAAAATTGTTCAGTCTTGGAAGCGGTTTACTGGCATAACGTCACACCTAAGGACAACCTTTCACCTTCCACGGCACCGGCTGATGTACTGCACACATACCACGTCCGGGTGAGAGGCATCGACGCGACGCCCCCGCCTGAATCACAAATAACCGAAGGGGAATACAAGGAAGGGGACATTGTCTGGGTTAAGACTCCACGGGTAAATGCACGACCAAATTTCGAACCGGACGTGACCGAGGTGGTGAGTCAGCAGTCAGTGCGGGTCGATGGAACGCCTCGTCATGTTAGAGACCTGCGCCTTTTTGGGCTCAAATCCCACAACTGACGAAGAAGACACGGAGGATAGTGACCAGCCAATATACATAGAGTTGGATTCAACAACCAATCACTCCGATAGCAGTAGTTTGCCAATAGATCGGGACGTGTCTAATGAGAGCCCTCTGATGAAGTTCAACCAATCCCCTTCGGAGGAGAGCACCCGGAACAAAAAGACCGTATCCTCACTGTCATCTGTGTGATCAGGAGATCAGTGGGAGGTGTAGCGGATATGAGACAGAACCTGGGACAAGCACAACTGGTCGCGACTTGCCTTGTCCCCGCCAAAAAGAGCCCGTATTTGCTTAGCATGTAAAGCTACTGCAGTTGAAATGAGGGAGAGAAAAAGCACTTACCGCTCTGACGTAATCCATCCTCGGCCAGATAATGTAAAAGAATGAGGGGGACTGGCATCGCATTTTTTTTATCCAATAACGATGCAATGCATTATGGGACATGGACGCAATGCATTATGGGACATGGACGCAATGAATTATGGGATCACAGGAAGACGCAAGGGATTATGGGTACATGAATAACTATAAAAAACAACTACTTTTTTCCAAGTCGGCGAGTTCTTCGAGGGACGTTCACGGTTGACGGCTAGAACGGGCAGTTAGTGTGATTTGGAGACAGAACTCAGGAAGGAACGACTCAAGTTTGAAATACCAGCTGGGAGAGCTTGAATTTACTCGCTGGTTACTGTTTTCTTCATTCGCCTCAGATTCATTATTCGTGAAAATTATGTAGTGGATTGGAAATAATTTCTTTTCTTTTTTAATCATTTCACCCGAAGCAAGATGATAAAAGCCAAAGGCAACTTCAAGTGAAAGAAAATGAGTAGAAAGGACAATAAAAGAACAGTATTCAAAAACATAGAAGATGGCAACTGACACTGATTTTAAATTATTGAAGATTGTAGTTGAAAGGAAAGCAAAAAGCCAGAAGAGAGTTCCACAAGTGCAAGAGAAGAAACTATCAGAATAGAACTTACAGTTACATCTAGCTATTTCAGCAGTAAAATGATGGGACCAAATTGCCAATCTAGTCTTACACTTAAATTCATGAGGTCAAAGTACCAAATAGGAAAGCTCCTCAGAACAATTGCCATGAAAATGTTTACGGGAAAGAAACGGGCAACCGAGATGCCAGGTCAGGATTATTAACATAGCAGATTCTTATTATAAACAATAATGGCAACAGATAGACATATCACCTGGAATTTAAAATAAAAATAAAAATTAAAAAGATAAAACTGCATGACTCACCCCCAATGCAGGATGGATTATTAGCCCAAAATCCAGATGGAAGTGTTGGCCGATCCCAATACTCATCGCGAACACATGCCAGCACTAAGTGAAAGGAACCTGGAGCAGCATCTTCATTTAGTTGATAAAACAAAAGACACATCTCAGATCTGGAATAACAAAACAAAAACAATAATTTCAGATTGCTGTCTGTCATAGTTTGAGCAAGAGGCCATGAGGATGATGTCTTTAATCATCACAAATTTTTCAAACAGACAAAAAAAAAAAAAAAAAAAAAGCACCATATTTATTCCTGCTATAAAACGAAATCTTATTTACAAGGTGAGCCATTACTTTTTCATGTAAAAATAATTTATATATATATATATATATATATATATATATATATATATATATATATATATTCTCACTTCAGTGTGGCATCATCTGCTTCAGAGCAGATCAAGTTCAATCTATTCAGGGTGCTCAGTGATTGTAATCTTCTGCCAGACCAAGCTAAATTACTAAATACCACACTGTGCGATTTGGTTGGTTTAGTTAGTTTTATGGCATATCAACTTTTTTAAAAAGTTATTTATCACGGAATTCTGTTCAATAATACATAAACAGAAAGGTTTGATTTGTACAAGATTTAGAAAAGGTACATGTAAATTTAGGCACACTGGAGTAATGGATAGTGGCTCAGATTGAGGAACAATAAAGCTGAATTCAAATTTCAGTTGAATCCATTGCATTCACTTATGTGTTACTACCCTTGAGAAAGGTATGAATCTTCTTCTCCCCTCAGCTATGGGTAAATTGCGGGATAGATCGGGTTCTATAGCCTTGGATGGCAACTGGTCTACCACAAAAAGAAATGGCAACCTACTGCGGGAAATAATCTGTCTCGTCAGTCATGTATTGAAAAATACATGATTGCCTAAGTGTGTATCACGCATGGCAAATAACTGACCGACACGCAAGTTTGGCTTGTACAAGAGTTGAAGAAAGGTACACATATGCTTTCTTTTCAAAGAAACTTTTTAACACATTAATGCCCACCATAAAATTCAGTATCTATATATATATATAAAACAGAGGATGTATGTGTATGTATGTGTGTGTATATATATATATATATATATATATATATATATATATATATATATATATATATATATATATAGTGGAAAGTGCTCAATATCAGTGATAGAGCTAACATATTCAGTTGTATGGATATGAGTTTGTGACCCAGAGTTTCACGCTTTCGTGATCATTAGACAAATTCTTATGATTGCAAATGGATGAAACCCAGGGTCACAAACTAATGGCAACTGGTCTCCCGCAGAAAGAAATGGCAACCTACTGCAGGAAGAAAATTTGCCTTGTCAGTCATGTATTGAAAAATACATGATCGCCTAAGCGTGTATCATGCACGGCAAATAACTGACCGATACATAAGTTTGGCTTGTATGAGAGTTGAAGAAAGGTACACATAGATTGGGTTTTTGTATGAGAGTCAAAAAATGTAGACATAGGTTTGGTTTGTATGAGAGTCGAAAAAGGTACACATATGCTTGGTTTATAGGAGAGTAAAAAAGCTACATGTTTGTTTGGTTTGCATGATAAAACACTAGTACAGTTGAAAAAAAAAAAGAAAAAGAAAAAAAAAGGTCCCTTTTTGAGGATCTTAACCATTTGCACAGGGATGTAGTCGATTTATTCCAGACATCAATTGACAGAGCAATAGAGAAGTGGTAAGTAAAATCATCTTGTAGGTTCATTACTACAAGAGTGTGTTTGATACTTACTGAGGTGCAACATATGTCTCCTAGTGCCAGCCTAAGCTTAATAAATGCCAAAGCAAACAAACATTTCCTACATTTGTTTTCATGTGCAGAAAACACTGACATTTTAAAATGTTAATATGAGCAGATGGTCAATGAGTAATAACTGAAGATAATGCTTCTCAATTAAAAACAAAAACAAAACTTATCGATTTTCTGTTTTTATCTAATTTGTAATAGTATGCAATTCACAAGGAGTCAATCATAATTTCAAATTTTACATTTAAGAAGTCAAGGATCAATTTCACACTGTTTATATTATGAATAAGACCCTCTTCTAAAATGATAAAAAAAAAAAAAAAAAAAAAAAAAAAATCAATATAAAATGTTGCAAGATTGCAAATGACAAAGAAAGAAAACTACAGGACCTTTTAGACAAGGTAGTAAAAGAAAGGGAGCAGATAGGACAAGCTATCATAAGAAAGGGAGCAGATAGGACAAGCTATCATAAGAAAGGGAGCAGATGGGACAAGCTATCATAAGAAAGGGAGCAGATAGGACAAGCTATCATAAGAAAGGGAGCAGATAGGACAAGCTATCATAAGAAAGGGAGCAGATAGGACAAGCTATCATAAGAAAGGACAAAATGTTTATCAGAGTAAAAAAAAAAAAAAAAAGACAATGTACTGTTGTCCGATAATGTACTGTTGTCCAGAAGCAAGATAAAGCCACTAAGATGAATGGGGTTACTGAGAGGGAGGGAATATAAGAAAAAAGACCTTATTAAGGAGAGAGAACAATAAAAGAACAGGAATTAAAAAAGACAGTAGATAATAGTAGACATCAGATTTAAATTTTTGGTAATCAGAGTTGAATGGAAAGCAAGAAGCCAGAAGTGTGAGAAGGAAGGAACTGTTAGCATAGAATTTAGTATTATGTCTAACCCTTTTAATTGTAAGATGATGAGACCTTGTTGTCAATCTAGTACTGCACGTAAATTCGTAAAGTCTAGGTACCAAAGAGGAAAGCTCATCAGACCAAAATTACCATAAAAATATTTATAGAAATAGCATAGGAAATTATGTTATATTGGTGGGAAAGTAACTGAAGCAGAGATATCAGATTGGGACCAATAACTTTGCAGATTCTTCTTTGGTTTTTTATGAAAATCTCTAAATATATAGCAGAAGCACCTGATCAGATGTGATAGCAATATTCAATGCATGGGCGAATGGTGAACTTATAAATATATAAATAAATAGACACCTTGACGTGGTTAGCAAGCTTTTTCACTAGATCAATTACAACTGAGTAAGGAGTTTGATCCTCATTGGGTGTTCTGCACTTTTGGCCTTGTGCAATATCTAAGCTACATAAATCCTTATAAATGCATAAAACTGAATCTGGAGAGAAAACTTGTCTAGCAAAACACAGTGAACTAACTTTCCTAGCAATTGATTCAATATAATCATTCCATTTCATGTCAGTGGAAAATGTTTACCATTGTTGATGTCGATATTAAAATCCATTATTCGTTGTGTAACAGAAGACAAGTAAGGTAATGAATTCTGGAGACAAGTTGAGATTTCTATACTTTTTATTGATTTACTGTTTTAGTCAACTCTAGTTGAGAAAGCAATTGGCATTTTAAGTTTGTAACATTTCTGTTCAGCTTGATTTACATACATTAATAACAGGATTTAGGATTTGAGATTGCATTTTTCCCCTCCTTTTTTACTTGTCAGTTTATTAGGTTTTGCTCATTTTAATATATTCACAATTTGTTTGAACCAGTTTAGTTGATTTTTTTTTTCTAGGCTCACTTTTTATCAAAGTTTGATGGGATGTGGTTTAGAGATCTTTGTGGTAGCCTCTCAAGTTGTTTAGGGATCTCAGGGGTTTAGATATCTTCATGGCAACCTTGCTAATCATTTATAGTTCTTTGTGGTAGTCTCTCCAGTGGTTTAGAGGGCTCCAGGGTAGTCTCTTTATTTGTTGCTATTATGTCTGCATATTCTATTGGCTTGATGCTGTCAAAAGATTTGTTTTGCACTAAATCCCAATAAAGTTTGCTATATTAATTTATTGTCCAATAAAATGGCATGTCTGGTACATTCCTTGGATTAGCATCAACTTTGACATAGATAAAAGAATGGTCAGAGATACCCAAAGGAGGCATCAACTCTGCAGAACATTGATCAGGGTATGAGATGAGGAACAAGTCTAACAACATAGCATCACCTGTATCAGGAACACAAGTAGATGGTTGGTTGATTTTGTTTAGCAGCATATCAACATCTCTATGGGTTATTTAATGCCAAAATCTAAATATTTTGTTTGCAATTTTATGCTTTAAACTACAAATTTTGTACATTCAAGGTAAATGTATCTTTTTTTTTTCAGACATATAGTTTGTAGATGATAAAATGTATTGTTGCTAATTTTTTTTAATGTATTGTTAGTAATCTAAAAAAATATATTGTTGGCCATGTTTAAAAAAAAAAAAAATGTATCATTCGTCATTTAAAAAAATATGTATTGTTGCTAATTTTTTTAATGTATCGTTAGTAATTTACAAAAATGTTTTATTGGCCATATTTTAAAAAAAATGTATCAATCATAATTTTTTAAAAAGGTGTATCATTTGTCATTGTTTAGAAAGAAGTATCATTAATTTTTTTTTTTTTTAAAAGATGTATCATTTAAAAAAAAAAAAATCTAATATATTGTTGGTAATTTTACTACAAAAATGTACTGTTGATTTTTGTTTGAGGGTTCACTATTTGCCCATAGCTGGGACCCTAACAGATGCTACCACCCCAGGTCAGGGAACAACAGTAGTTAAGTGGTTTATTTCTTGCCCCTCCAATCCCCCAATCAGAGACTTTGCTGTTGGATGTAGTTTACTGTCATACCCAAAACAAGAAATACCAGCAGAAATACCCAATCTAGGTCGGCTTGTAAGTTATGGAGAAATCGTAACAGTATTTTCTCTCTACATTAGTTTGAGTGAATCAGACATTCCTTCAGTTGAATGAAGAAAAAAAATTTACAAATGGAAGAAAAATCTGCAGCTGAAAAAATGAAGACGTAAACAAAAGCAAAAATTTATAAACAAGCATGTGTAAAAGAACATTAAATTCATGAATATGCAAGTGCACAAAACCGAGGAAAAACAGACAAAGACTCACAACAAATTGAAAAAAATGAAAATATCCTTTAAAACCCAGAACCCCCTGAAGAACGGACATTTATCAAGAAACTTTGAAGTTTGGGAAAACAACTCTAAAAAATGACACTTAAAAGAGAAGAAATCTTTATATAATATTAATGCTCTATTTTTAATATTTTTAATATTGAGCACTATATATAAAAATATCTGC